ACAGCAACTTTGTGGTGTATTTTCGTTTCGATTTTATGGTTATGGTGTTACTTTTTTGGTTTCATTTGATAGAATGGAAGATACGATACAGAAATAGATATGATTTTGATTGGTTTCACTACGGAAAGCACCTTGAAATTGAGCTCAAAGTAGCGGAAATGTTCGATTTTTACCAACGTTCAAGAGTAAGCAAATGATGTCGCCATCCAATATGTATCCAACTGGCTGGTCTGATACGCAGTCATGAATGGGTTGACATTATTTATATAATTATTACAGTAAAGCAGTAGTCTGCATAACAGTAAATCTATTTTTTGTGTGAATAAAAATGCAAAATGGAATGCAAGCATAATACAGTGGACCCCCGCATAACGATTACCTCCGAATGCGACCAATTACGTAAGTGTATTTATGTAAGTGCGTTTGTACATGTATGTTTGGGGGTCTGAAATGGACTAATCTACTTCACAATATTCCTTATGGGAATAAATTCGGTCAGTACTGGCACCTGAACATACTTATGGAGTGAAAAAAAATCGTTAACTGGGGGTCCACTGTATAAGAGGGACCCTGGAGACGTGACTAATGAACAAAGAAAATGTTATTTTAGTGCCAGGAATATCTGCATTGTTTATTCTGGCCCCTCTTTTGAAATTGGCATCTCTTGAAATTTGTGAGAAATTGGCCAAGTTATCGATTTCTGACCATTTTATTGTGTATTTGAAATAAGTAAATGGGCGGTTTCTTAGTCAACAGAATAGAAGGAATGCTGGTGAAATAGCCGAGTTTGGTAGACTGGAACAATGGAATGGAACTTAACTCTGCTGTTGAGCATGGATCTGCAAATTTAGTGACAAATTTCAGGCCCTGATATAAGATGTTGCTTCTTTGTAACTCCCACTAGACTTACTGGTGTTGCTCTTAGATTTTTAACCACTTGACTGGCCATGCTGTAGTACTATTCCATGAGCTCAGCTCACTCAAATAAGCTGTGAGCAGTAAATTTGGGCCTAGGTATGAGAGAATGGGTCTATGCAGTGAATGCACATCATATAAAAATAATCCTGCAGCATGCATTGCATAATGATAAAAAAATATGATTGTTTTTTATTTAAAACAGTAACTTTGCGGTGTATTTTCATATGGTTTCTGTGGTTGTATTCTCAGTTTCTTGGTCTTGTTTGATAAAATGGAAGATATAATACAGAAATAGAGATGATTTTCATTGGTTTCAGGACTGAAAATTGCTTGAAATTGAGCTCAAAGTAGCAGAAGTGTTTGATTTTTGCCGATATGCAAGAGTAAAAACAAATCACGTCACTTGTCCAATACGTGTCCAACTTGTGGATCTAATATGTGTTCACAAATGCACTAATATTATTTATACAATTATTACAATATTGCATAACAGTAAATCTTCTATTTTTTGTGAATAAAAAATCAACATGGAATTCATGTGTAAACCCTGAGAAGATAACTAATGAATAGAGGAAATGTTATTTTAGTGCCAGGAATGCCTGCATTGTTTATTCTGGACCCTATTTTGAAATTGAAATATTTTGAAATTTGTGTGAAATTTGCCAAATTACCAATTTCTGATCTCTTTATTGGGTGGTTGAAATAGTTGGTTGGGCAGTTTCTTGTGCTCAGTTGATGAAATGGAAGACATGTTAATGCAATAGCTAAGAATTTGGTTGATTGGAGCAAAGTAATTGGCCAAAAATAGGGCTCAAATTGGGCAAAATCGCTGATTTGTAAATATCGCTGATACAGCAAAATTCGCAAAAGCATAATTTCATCAAATTTTGTACTTCTTAAAAATTCTTGGACAGTGTGGACACGTTTCAGAGTGAGGATCTGGACAGTAGAAAGGTTAAGACTAATGTATAAATCAAATTTATTCTGGCAAATTAAGTTAGTTTTGTCCCAGGATGCTGTTCACACCAGTCAGTTAACACCTAGATCAATTTTACTGATGAGTGAACTTGGACAACAAGTGTAAGGAAACATGTCTGGTGTTTCCACCCTTGCTGGGAATTGAACCTGGACCCTCAGCATGTGAAGCAAGAGCTTTGTGAACCAGGCCAAGAGCTATTTAATAAGTAATTTACATCTTATTTTAGTTTGTTTATTTTAAGTTTCTAGTGAGTTAACAGTCAAACTGAAGTTGTCAGCTATTTAAGCATTATACTTTCACTTGTTTTTCATTGAATGGCTGATCAGAACTGGATCTCCATACAGTACAGCCTCTCCTCACTTAACAACGGAGTCCCATTCCTAAGACCACATCAGTAAATAAATTCGTCGCTCTCGGAGTGTGAGCAAAATAACAGCTATGAAGGGATTCAGGGAAACCGGCAGGCCAGACTCGAGTCCTGGATATGAGAAGTACAGTGTCTGCACTCTGAAGGACGGGTGTTAATGTAGCAGTTTTATAACTGTAGTGTAAATCATCCCTCCAGCAAGACAGTGATGGAGTGAATGACGATGAAAGTTTTTCTTTTTCGGGCCACCCTGCCTTGGTGGGAATTGGCCAATGTGTTAATAAAAAAAAAAAAATGTATATTGATCAGAGAGCCTGTCGTAAGTCTGAGTTGTCAGTAAATGAGTACATCGCTAAGTGAGGAGAAGCTGCATTTGGATTTCTTCCTGAAGCCATTTGAATATTCCACTTCCCCTACCACCCTGTCTTTTCATTTTTTTTTACTATTAGGTATATTCTATTACATAATATGGTACCAAAGAGTTGAGAGATACACTGTCGGTATAATGATGGCATATACAGTACATGAGGTGAGAGAGATACAGTGGACCCCCGCATAACGATCACCTCTGAATGCGACCAATTATGTAAGTGTATTTATGTAAGTACGTTTGTACGTGTATGTTTGGGGGTCTGAAATGGACTAATCTACTTCACAATATTCCTTATGGGAACAAATACGGTCAGTACTGGCACCTGAACATACTTCTGGAGTGAAAAAATATCGTTAACCGGGGGTCCACTGTACATGTCTAATACATATTGTTACACGTTTGTCACTAATATTTTATTATTTTTTATTAACACATCGGCAGTTTCCCACAAAGACAGGGTGGCCCAAAAAAGAAAAACTTTCATCATCATTCAATCCATCACTGTCTTGCCAGAGGGGTGCTTTACAGTACAATTTATAAAACTGCAACATTAATTCCCTTCCTTCAGAGTGCAGACACTGTACTTC